AAATATTAAATTTCAAAAATTTAAATTAATTTCGAAATTTTATATATTAATATATAAAATATATATATAAAATATAAAAAAGATAATAATAAGAATATAAGATTGAGATTTGAGAGAATGATATATTGAGAGAATGAGAGATGGATTGAGTGATTTTTTTTTTTGAAAAAATGGGAGTATTTATAAGGTTATCCCCCTCCCCCCAATGCCTCAAACGGCTATTTAGCCGTTGAGGCAGGCCCCCCCTTTGTTTTTCGCAGGTCTGCAAAAGCAAGGCAACGGATATGAAGCAAAATGCAAAAAAAGAAAAAAAAAATATACCGGTACCGTCGGTGCCGGTACCGAAAGTTGGGTACCGGAACCGGTACCGAAGTGGGCGGTACCGGTACCGGTTCTCGGAACCGGTGAGACGAACGAGACGGCGTGACGGTGGCGGGTACCGGCGGTACCGTCGCTGGTCACGGTACCGAACCGGTACCGTGTCCACCCCTAGTGGACAAGGTACGATTCCGGTCTGGTTCCCATGTCAGAACCAGCGATTCTAGTGCCGCCAGCTCACGGCTCCCCTACCGGTACCGGTGGTAACGATACTGGCGTCGGTACAAGTACCGGCAGTTCCGGCACTGTACCGGTCGGTTTTTTTAAATATTTTTTATGAGAATTTATAAATGTGTATGCATAAAAGCAAAATAAATTTATAAGTTTTTAATTTTTACCAACTAGAATATCTAAAAATGTAGTTGTTATTTAAATTTTGAAAAATGAATAGTACAAAAACAACTACATTTAATATCTTGACGGTTCAAAAAACAACGAGATAAAGAACTGTAAAAAAACCCTTGAAGAAGCTAAGCTTATATATCGCTCACCTAAAAAGCTAATTACAATTGAATTAAATAAAGTTATTCACTTAGCTTATTCCTCGAAACTAGGGCTTCCCTCTGTTGTTGAATTCATGTAATTATTCATATCAATGTCGTACTCTGACTCTTGAGCTCGACATCTTGCCAAGAGCCAATCTCGGGTGCAAACAAGTGTCTCAAGCGATTTAGTGCTAAGAAAACTTCTGTAGTCGGTTAGAATGTTGTCGCTACAATTGAATCTTGTTCCACAGCTACGATTGAATCGGCGTGGATAAGACTTATCTGGCTAGCATGGCAAGAGACGAGAACATGTGTTCATTCTGCTTTCACCATTCGAGGATGTCGATGTTCCTGTCGTTATCTTCATCGTGATCGCATGGCACCCCTTGGTACATAGCAAGTTCGTTGTGCGAACTTATAGTTGTACCACCTGAACTCGTCGAGGCAGAATTACGCTTACGCATTGCAAGAGACGGGAACATGTGTACCATGAAAGAATATTTGACTTATAAGCAGCTTATAAGTTAAAAGTTGTTTACCAGCAGCCAATAATCACCAGCATAGAGAAACACCCCTAAGAGAAGTTTCCAAGAAGGTTTCAGAGAAAAAAGCATAAGAATTGCATATATTTGTGTGATTAAAGACATGTATGATGGTTCTATAACAAGCGTGAGAAGTCAAAGTAGGGTAACAATAGAATATCCCATCGGTGTAGGATTACATTCATTATACTAAGAGTCATTGCTAAGCCCATATGTTTTTACATTAGCATTGGACGTTCTAATCGAGCAAATCCAAGAACATGTACCATGGTGCTTTCTTTTTCCGATGACATCATCCTTATTGGCAAATCACAAGAGGATTTGAATGGGAAGTTGGATTTGTGGAGAGAGGCTTTGGACTTGCATGGCTTGTGTATAAGTCACACTAAAACTGAATATATGGAGTGTAAGTTTGGAAATGGAAGGAGACATAGTAACATTAATGTGAAAGTTAGGGAAAATACCATATCACAAGTAAAGAGACTTATATATCTTGGGTGTATCATTCAAGGCAATGGAGAAATAGAGGTTGATCCACAAGATTCAAACGATTGGTTAAAATGGCAGAGTGTTTCGGGATTTATATGTGACGAATACATTTAAAACTTAAGGGAAAATTTTACCGTACTGTAATTAGACCAGCTATATTGTATGGAACAAATTGTGGAGCAGCAAAGGGTGAACATGAACATAAAATTAGTGTGGCGAAAAAGAAGATGATTCATTGGATGAGTGGTCATACACATATAGAATAAGTAATGAAGATATGAGTGTTAAAGTTGGAGTAGCACCCATTGTAAAAAAGATGGTGGAAATTCGTCTAAGGTGGTTTGGACATGTGGAGAGAAGACCAATAGAGCATGTGAAGGGTTGATCAAATGATGAATAGACATGTGGCTAGAGGAAGAGGTATACCTAAGAAGACTTGTCAAAAAGTGGTCACAAAGGACCTTCACGTGAATGATCTTACTCATATATGATACATGATAGGGTGCAATGGCGTCATTTGATCTATGTAACATAGTAGGATAAGACTTTGTTGTTGTTGCTATTGTAGCCTTGGTTGTGAAAGGTAGTTGACAACTTGTGAAACCATTGAGTCCATAGAGTGACTTCTTTAAGCGACAAACTTTGGCAGGGGGATTGGGAAAATCCAAAGGAATCTACATGTATACTTCTTCATTTAAATCTGCATGCAAAAAATCATTGTTGATATCAAGTTGTGAAAGCTTTCATTTTCTTGATGCAGCCAGTGCAATAAGATATCTGATACACATCTTGACCACAAGTGAAATAGTTTCAATAAAAAGATAATATATCTTTGATGATTTCGCTGAATGATAAGCCTGGGTTTGAATCATTCCAATGTACCATCATATTTGAGTTTCATTTTATAAACCCATTTGCTACGGACAAGTTCCCAAGTATCATTACCTTGCAAAGCTGTTATCTCTTTGTTTATAGCAACAATCCCAGCTTGATGATCTTGGGAAATGCTATTTAAATGAGCAAAATCGTACTAGTGAGAATTTAAAGCATTAGAGTGATGCTGATGTGTGAGATTACAACATTTGTAATGTTCTAAGTAGGAAGGTGGTTTTCTTATTCTAGTAGATGCTCTAGGTGGAGCAAGATCTGGACTATGAGAACGAGAAGTGGAATGGTTGAGTAAGGTTGAAGAAGTGGATTTGTTATTTGGTAATGATGAAGGAGAAGAATCAAAAGGAGAAGAAGCAGAGGAAGGTGAACCATCAGTATTATCATGGACTAGTATTATCATGGAATGTGGTATCAAAATCATATGTAGAGTGAAAGAAGATGTTGGACGAGTCAATGAGGTAAATTAAGCAGAATGAATGAAGAGGCTGAACCATTGAAATGCGATGAAAAGGATGACAATGTTCATGGAATTTGACATTTATCTTGTAAAAGAGTTGCTTAGTGCGTAAATCAAGAAGTTTATATACTTTCTTGTGAAAAGGATAACCAAGAATTACACAAGTAACTAGGGGTGAGCAATTTAATCAAATCGATCGATTAACCAATTCAATTTAACTGAACCGACCGTAATTTTGAATTCAATTTCGGTTTTCGTTTTTAATATTTAAAATATTCGGTTAATTCGGGTTATTGGTTTCGGTTCTGGGTCTTGTTAACCAAAACCGACCGAATAATCGAGCCCATAATATATTTATTAAGTACATGTAAGCCCAACCCAAATCCTTTTTATATATAAAGTAGAGTCAGAGCTTCAGGAACGCGACATTTGGCAAAGCTGAGGAGTGACATGTGGCAAATTGAGGTGGCAAGAGAGTTAAATGAACATGATTTGTGGCGATTCAATTATTCTTTCCATATATCATGCATTCTTTCCTTAGTTTAATTTATGCTACGGCTTCAATTGATAATTTTTATTAATCTGAATATTGCCAAATTCTTAGGCTTCAATTGATAATTTATGCTACGCCAATAAAAGGGTATTAATACCGTAAATGTTTAAAAATAAAAATAGAATGGAAGTTTATTTGGAAAGAAAAAAGATTTGTTTCAGAAATAAAAAAATTAAAATCTTCATTTAAAAATTTTAAATTTATGTTTCAAGAGATGTTATGCCATTACATATCGTAATTGTGATGTTTACATAGTAAGTAATAAAAGGCTATTAATTTCCGTTCCAATAATATTTTACTACGTAAATGTTCAACCCAATTTTTTATTTCACGCCAATAAAATGGTATTTATACCGTAAATGTTCAAAAATAAAACTAGAATGGAAAGAAAAATATTTTGTCTCAGAAATAAAAAAAATTAAAATTTTCGTTTAAAAATTTTAAATTTCTGTTTCAAAAGATGTTATGTCATTACATATGGTAATTGTGATGTTTAGTTACTAAGTATTAAAAGGCTATAAATACACGCCAATAAAGGCTATTAATACCGTAAATGTTCAAAAATAAAAATAGAATGGAAATTTGTTTTGAAAGAAAAAAATTA